TATGTGACCCTGGACCACAAAACCAGTCATAAGGGTCAATTCTTTGGAAGGAATAAGCTGCGTAAATAATCTTTCCATTGATGTATGGTTTGTTAGGATAGGACAATATTTGGCTGAGATACAACTATTTGAAAATCTGGAATCTGAGGGTGCAAAAAAATCTAAATATTGAGAAAATCATCTTTAAAGTTGTCCAAATGAAGTTCTTAGCAATGCATATTACTAATCAAAAATTAAGTTTTGATATATTTACGGTAGGAAATTTACAAAATATCTTCATGAAACATGATCTTTACATAATATCCTAATGATTTTTGGCATAAAAGAAAAATGTATCATTTTGACCCATACAATGTATTGTTGGCTATTGCTACAAATATACCCCAGCGACTTAACACTGCTTTTGTGCTGCAGGGTCACATATTAGATGTGACACTGAAGACCGGTGGTGGAAAAGTTTAAGGATCTGACATATTGTAACTTGTAGTGTTAGTTGGTTCTTGTGAAAAGTGAACTCGAGTGTGAAGCAACTATTTCACGTAGCAGCAGTGTCTGTTGTTCTTTGTGTCTCAGCAGTAAAAATATGAGACCGTTTCATATGAAATGAGATGTGTCAGTTCAAATTGCAATATATGACATAAAAAGCACAATATATTTATTTGGCCAAGTTGTGCAGCCCTATGATATAGCCTAATTTAAAAATAAAAACAATAAAAATAAAAAAGCTGTTTACTTGCTTCTCATATGTTTATGTGTAGGCATTATAAATACAGCAACAAGCTTCGGAAGTATAGATAAACAAGATGTTTATTTAGTATTTAGCAGGCCAAACTGGCTTTTGGCTATTGAAAATAATAACCGTAACCATCTGAAATTAGCGGCGTTAACTGTGCAGTAAGCACATTCAATATTAAACATAGATGTTACTGACATTTAACATCAGCATTTAGCTTTTGTTTTTAAATTGGGTTGGTTGTTGGGTAAAGTAGTGCCCAAAGAAGTGCAAAGACCATATCCCAAATATCAAAACTCAAAATATGTCATTTCCATACCTAAAATACATATTTTACAGTCACTGTTATGCATGTTGATCAAAAACCTGTTCACTTTCACTTTTGATTTCGTGATCACACACGCTCTGTGTAAAGGAAGATCGGATATTTGTTGATGAGCTCAGGATCGTGAAAGTGAACAGCGAGCGCTCATTCAAAAGAGATTTAAATACTTTGCATATTGATAGCGGCCCCATGATGCGGCAAAATTATATGCCATATATGTTTGCGGGACTGGACACAAAAATCACGGGAGCGGGCGATAATGGTCAGAAATTGAGCAGCTCCTTCTACAATCTGGAGCAGGTTTGGATAGGGCTGTACAGTGCGACAAAAATCGGTCTGAGCCTTGAGTAAATGTACTACAGTAGCACGTGTGCGACACAGTTTTACATGTGTACGAGTCGTTTACAAACCTGTTGTCCAACAAAGATATTTTAAAGGGGTCATATGATGCGATTTCATTTTTTCCTTTCTCTTTAGAGT